ACAGTGTCTTGAATCATTATTGGGAAAAAAAATCGTATTTAAACTGAAAATTAGCAATGGAGCAACTATTATGTTTGTGGAAACTACACAAAGATCCTTTTTTTTATACCTTGTTTGATGGATTTCATTACAGTAGAGTTGTTTGTAAAATTCAAAGTTCATGTTTTATCTCCACCTGAAAAATGTTACAAAATCTACATTAAACGTGGATGAATAATCTAGCCCATTGTGATTGTCAGATTTTATCTTTCCATTCCATTTCCTCCCTCTCTGCCGAGCCAAAGGCTGTGTTCTTGAGTGCGGTACTTTAAGTCGTCTTGTCACTGATAGACTTGGTTCACTTCACTCACTGGAACAGATGCTTACGGCGTTCAGAATACCGCAGGGATGACCAGCAGATGTGGGCTCTCTTTGTCCTTATTTAAGTGGAAGGCTGTTTGGGGGTAATTTAGTTCCATTCAAAACCGTCCACATCCACATGGGGAACCGGTGCTTGAAAAATCGCTTTAACATTCTTATTGGATTTTTTCAAAATGGCAGCAAATCAAAGGATAGTCTAATTTGATCTCTTAAACAGCTTGGCAGAGTCCATACACTACAGTGTTTGAACATCGTAGTTTGTTTTGTCCTTCATAACCACCAATAAACACAAAAACGTTCTGATATGGAACATCTTGAATTGAGTCACTCTCTGAATACTGTTGGTTAAACAGAAGAGAAATACTCTAAACTTGGATAGTTTTTTTTTTTAACTCTCTTGTGGAGAACTAGTTTCATTCTTCTAGTCAGAATAGATGAATTTCCCAGAACATTACTTTACTTTGAAATTCTTGTGCCTGGTTTGCTATAGAATATTTCGGATCTTGTGTAATGGTAAGATTTTGCATTGCCTAAAGAAAATGTAAGTGTTGGTGCTTGTCCAGTACGACTCACCACAACAGTTCTGGGGTGTTTCTGTGCAGTTGCTAAGATGGACCCTCTTTTAATGCAAGTCTATAGGGTATTTTCACCATTTTTAAGGTCAGTTTTAAGAGTCAAAAATGGTAAACCTGAACATTTTGAAAAGTACATTTGCGGTCACGTTAGCAAAATTTGGTCCATTTTCCACGGTCAATGTTGCATGAAGCATCGCTCACACAGTAGCCTTCAAAACAAACAACTTCATGTTGGTCAATGCGGCAAATTCACATGGAAATCCTGAAGGGGGAAGCTGTGTGAGGAAATGTTTTGCCATAACGCGTAATACCAGATTGTGTTGATTCTTATTTAAATGACTAGATTTCATCTTTGAAATTTCGCCAGAGAGTAATAAATGCAACCACAACCTTAATATTACACTTCTCATCAAACTGTGATTTGTCTGTACTTATGTCTCTACCACAAAAGGAAAGTTGTTACATAAAATAATGTTTTACTATACGTAGCTCTGTTTGTTTAAAATAATGAAAAAGAACATTACAAACAGAACATATTATATAACATATTATGCAATTTTCACATATTTTGACTTCCTGTTATCACAAAAGCAGGTGATTTCTGTAATCTAAGGGAGAAATTACAGAGAGGACACCTGGGTAATTGACTGACCTGTGCATAATGTCCGGATTTGCAGTGTTGCCACCATTAGATTGCAATTATTTTGTCTTTTTTGCTCTTTGTAACATTTGTTCTCTCTCTTAGTCTTAATTCTTTTCTTTAATTCTCTCGCCTTCCTTTCTCACAATTTTTGATTGCGTACAAATCACTTATGATCACTGTTATTAACATGCTTTAAGAGAGCTTGTATTTTTAAAGGTTAAGAATGACAAAGGTGATGGAGAAACTGAGACCTCAAAAGTAAATTGAATTTCGGAGCCCCATCTATCTTTTTCAGTGTCACCTGATGGGTCGGACCCTTAGTGTGTGGATTTTCAAAGTTAAGGTGGCTTGAAATTCAACTGAACATCAAAGGTATAGAACAGCATTCATCCTGAACATCAAACATACCTCTGAGGGCCCCATTTATAAAACATTCACAGGAAAGACATGACCTCCAATCTACTAAAGAGCATTTATACTCGTTTTGACTATAGTTGATTCATACAGACATTTGAATCACATCTGAACGTGGTAACTAAGAAAAAATAATGTTATATTTGTCCCATGTGCTCCTTTCTCAGTGATTATCATTCTCGGGAAGAGAAACGCTCAAGGTGTCCCTCACAGTTTCCTTTTCATGCCGTTTTTTGATTGTGTCCCTATAGAATGTGAGAACAACATTCTGCTAATGGCAGGCTCAGGCACGCTGGCTTGCTCTCACGGGGTAACAGTAACAAGTTAACAAGCTGCTTCATTGCTTGTTCTCCAGATCCAATTATATGACCATTTAATTACACCCCTTCATCTCGCTCCTGCTCTCTTCTTCTGTAAAAGCACATATTGATTTTTAAGGATTTTCACGTTTACCCTTTTTTTTTTAACCCATGTTTTTTCTTTTTTTCTTTTTTGTGAAACCATGATTGGTGAATTTTTTGTAAGGGATATAAACTAGAGGTTCTATTCTTTCATTACATCACTCAAAATGGGTTTCTGTTTATAGTGGGCTTTCATGTTATGTAGAAACAGTCAAAGTATTTCCTTGACAACAGCTTTAGTCTGTTTTTACCACAAGATGGCAATGGTACCTATAATGATTGAGTATTCTATTATCAATGTTAACAACCCTTGTGTGGAAGCTTTCCTAATGGAAACTTTAATGTTTAAATTATCTTTACACAGTGTAGACTAATGTAATGTAAATACATCTGCGTAAACATTATTGAAATTAATCCAAAATGTAACAAGAAGTCTGAATGACTTTCTTTTGGACATTGCCTGAGGACGTGTGTGTGTGTGTGTGTGTGTGTGTGTGTATGTGTGTGTGTGTGAGAGAGAGAGAGAGAGAGAGAGAGAATATAAACAGTCATCTTTAGGTGGGAATGTAGCGATTTATTAGCTTTCACAAAAGGTTTCAAGAAACGTTTTAGTCCGGTTACTAACGTAACCTTGGTTCCCTGAGATAAGGGAACGAGCGTGGCATTAAACGCTTATGGGGAAACTCCTGTTTACTCTTAATACCGAAGCCTGATTTGTTCACATTCTTGTAGCTGCACGAGCAAATGGGGCTTCAACCCACCAAAAGGGTTGGAACTGACTACTATATAAGTCGGCACTGAGCACCATTTTGTCAGAATCTTTCGACTGAAGCGACAGTCATTGACTCGCCTGCAACCATTTAGCACAGCAGCTTACGCAACTCTTGTTCCCTTATCTCAGGGAACTACAGTTACATTAGTAACTGGAGTGTTCCCTTTCGAACGGTCTCTCCCGTTGCATTAAACGATTAAAGGTAACGTATCCAATAGCGCCGTGCTATAAGCAAGTGCAGAATGAAGCCACTCTGCAAGCCCAGCCCCGGAGCGTAAGCCAGGGTGACAGAGAGCTCTTGGCTAAATTGAGATTTAGCCCAAGCCGCTCCAGGTGGTTGAGCAGCAGCGACCTGTGAGCGATGAGTTCCTGTTCCGATCTGGATGAGAACAGTCAATCGTCTAGGTAATTCATAATGCGGATTCCCTTCTGTCTCATCCGTGTCCATGCACTTTGTAAAAATGCGCAGGGCCAGAGACAGTCCGAGTGGTAGGACTGTATATTGATAAGCCACTCCCTCAAACACAAATCTCAAGAATGGTCTGATGGGATAAAAACCAATTCCTGGGGCATATTTGCGCGAGGATCTCCTTCAAAATCAGCATCTTGAATGGGCGTTTCATAAGTGTGCGGTTCAGATGCCTGAGATCGAGGCCTTAGTAGTGTGCAGAGCTAAGTCATTCACTGTGTGCAGCTCTCTGAAGGCATCAGAACTCAGGCCGGACTCGTCCATGTTGCGAAGACACACTGAGTAGGGGGCATGCCACGTCCTGGTGAGTTCTTCATGAACTTCTGGGAAGAACGGGGTGGGCCGTTGGCAGTAGGATCATTGATGGTGTTCCTTCAGGTACCACTTGTCTAGGATGCTGGGCTGCTCGCTGTCCACACTGGGCCATGTTGTCTGCGTCAGAGGTGGGGTTTTGGGCTCTTCGCCGGAACACGCCCAGTCCTCTGCATCTGTCGAAACAACTTCCTCCTTAGACCCACCGAAGGAAATCAACCCTCTCTCAGCCGATGAAAGGTGCTGATCCTCACGTGTGAAGCACACAGGCGAGTCGAGGCGTTGTGGGGAGAGTGAAGCACGGGGGACCTGTGCGGGCATTAGTTCACTGGAGCCCAGTGTTTGAACCCCGCTGTCCCACTGTTTCCTCATAAGCGTTTAACGCAACGGGAGCGACCGTTCAAAAGGGAATCTAATTTTGCTTTTTCACTTGACATTGTCGATATTTTAAATACGTGAACTTCTCCCCAATTCGTTTACATTACTGGTGTTTCATTAAATAATCAGTGTTCATGAACTAATCTTTAAAGTGAACAAATCTTCTTCATTTCCTTGCACTGATACATATCTTTAAGTGTCTACTGCGTTCAAAGTCTACTAAGAAAAAATAACATTTGAGTGCGGGCTGTGAAAGTAGTGTTTCATTGGTTGAACCTACTGTTTCGAGTCTGAAGGCAACATTTTGATTGAGAAAAATTATAAATGTGTAATATTAACTAAAATGTAAAAACGAAACTCTAGGGTATTCCAGCAGACCAACAGTCATGCTAGCAGTTGAAAAAATGTAGGGAAAACCTAAGATGAAGAAAATGCTCTTTTTAAAGTCACTTCGTGGATTATTTTCGGTGTTTAATAAATTGATTGATTAAACGATTCACGCGTCGCCACCTACTGGCTCCATTATGTAATTCAGAAAGGCCACTGTACTCAAATAAAGAACGAATTCTTTTAGTGAAGGGATTCAAAAGAGTCGAGTCACTGATGAATCAAAAATCCTCACCACTTCAGTCACACACTCAGCGGCGGCCCCTCCCACTGCCTAGGAGTTCTGCGGGCGACGTCACTCCGGTCCCGCCCCCAACGCAAACTCAGTTCTTCGCGTTCATTTCATTCTTGCCCTCATTCCGCGCATACTTCACATCGTTGTTAGATACGCCGAATAGTCGCGCTCTTGCGCTCCGACAAGAAAAAAAGTGATCAGCTGGAAATAAATCAGCGCGTGCGCTCAGTCCACAGCATCAGACACATTTAAAAGACTGAGGTACGTTTGTGCTTTAAACAAAGTTTCATTTTGACTGCTAGTTCTGCTAACACTTTGTGTTTACTGTTAAGTATTATGGATTAAAAGATAAATATTAAGAGAATAGTGGCTGTAATTTTATTCCCAGTTTTTAAAAATGACACGGCATAAATAAACAGCCTTTCACGATCAAAAAAGCAAAATAAAAAATGCACTGTGCCAAAAGCAGTTAAATAAAATGATTAATGTTTACCTTTTTTGTAGATTGTGCAAACATCCGCAGAGATTTTCATTAGGCTACTTGTGGAGGTTCAGAAAACACTTTTTCCTTCGATCCGTGCCAGCTAGTTTACCACGGCTTCTTTGTAACAGTAAGTTCATATTTACTTTAATAGTAAATCTCACGTTGTGATTCATGTTTCTGGGATGAATCAGTGTCACTGATTTCTGGTTCGTGACCTCAGTGACTTGTGGATGTTTAGTCGCTTATTTGGTCGGGCTAACACCCCGCTCCCGTTTGCTTTCCTGAAAAACGCCAGTTTTGTGTACATAAATAAAGGATTAGGGAGAAAGTCCATGGTCCAGCCCCTGTTAATAATTAATCTGGATGTTTGAAAGCCCTCAGACTAAAATTAGTGCCTGGTCTGAGACTGTCTCAAAACCTAGTGTGCTGCCTACCTAGACAGCATTTTGGGGCAACATTTGTCATATTTTGGGACACATTCTGTGCCATTTGTCATGTTTAACTACTAAAAGAGGGTAGAGACTTGAAATATGCGTTTACTGCTATTTTCCAATATAGTAAGTCTGTATGTTTGTCTTCAGTTTTAAAGTATGTATCTGCCATTAAAAAAACATGTAATAGATATCAGCAAGATAAACTAACTGAATGGACTTGGAGGGCTTAATTTTGTGCAATGTGTTTTTCAGTATTGTGAAAAGTTTAATGAATGCATGTACACTTTATGTGCTTATTATAGTTCAGTTTGCATTTAAAAGCCAAGTACATGCCTTATACTGTAGTAGAAGAAGAAGAATTATTAGTATTTTGTGTTTCTTGTTTGTTGTTTCCCCCTCTCCCACTGCTGTCTGACAGTGGTTTGTTGTCTCAGATGAGGTCGACCCCCTTCACTATTGTGTTGCTGTAATGACATGCCAGTCTATTTAACTTCTGTAAACAGAGTAGATAGACCCTTTTAAAATGGAAACACCAATTCTTACGATCCAAAACCGTACATATCACTAATAAAAACCAGTATCTGTGACCGTTTTCATTCTTTTTTTTAAATCTAATTTAATCAAAACCTAATAATTATCTTGAAGTGTTTAGACCATATGGTTTTACACCATAGACATTTATAAGCTTATGTGATCTGATTGTTTGTTTTCTTCTCTCTGTAACTAAATCATGGCCTTTAAAAATGAACTTTATGTATAACATTGTAATATAAGCTTTCAGAGGGAGAGAACCAGTTAACACAGTTAGTTTATTTATCTGTTTTCTCTTTCTGTTTTCAAGAATTGAAACTTTGTCAGAAGAGAAAAAAATGTGCCAGATTCAGTAGACAGGGCTTCCTCTGGGAGCACGGGATTGTGGGAAAATGGGGTAAGGGGCCCTTCATTGTTCCTGCTGTTATTGAAGCAGGGGCTCGTGGAGCGGCTGAATTACTCCACAAACAGTCCTGCTCCCATGCTGACATCTGGTTTGCCACTTAAGCGCACCTGTAGGCTGAAAGATGCTGAACTGTGTGTATTCATTCTGGCGCTGGGCTAATTCAGAGGAACGGCCATTTGTTTGACTGTTGCTGCCACTCACCGTCTAGCCAACTCCATTGTTATGCCAGCAACAGGCGATAGTGGTGGAGGCACCATATGGTTTGTGTGTGCCTCGATGTTATCTGGTAATTTAGCTTATCAACACCATTATGTTGTATTTTGTCCTTTCTTTTACATGTCTTTTTATGCAAAGAGGGTGATTGAGTAAGTTTAGGGAGGGAGAGACTGTTTACGTAGCCAAAGTACACTAGTTAGGCACTTGTAATTAACGTACCTTTGCTTTCCATACAGTTTTAGTAGGAAATAAATTACACTTTTCAACTTGGTCTAATGCAATTACTAGAAATGTATGTGTGGGAAATGCTAACCAAATGGGACAAAAGAAAGGGAAAAAAAACTCAATATCTTTTTGTCAGACATTTGTCTTTAACAGTGAGATATTTTGAATTTTTTAATTGAAGGGTCAAAAATAACCCCAAGTTTTGCTGAGTGTTGCTGTATTTTTAAGAAAAAAGTTCAGATATGTGAGGCGAAGATGCCAAGTATTTAAGCAACAGGTGCTTATGATCTGCGTCATAGTTTTGCTGATCAAAAGAAGAGAAATGTGGACTTTTAATTTAGTGAAAAAGAGCTTTCGGTTTAGATTGCCGCTAAATTTGACCATACAGACTATGTTTGTCCTGCGAGTTACATGTGTTCATTGCCGTTTCATCCTTTTCTTTTGACATGCATAATCACAAGTCTTGTATGATAACTGGTTTGGGGAGGGGGTGGAATACGAAACCCGAAAAGATTTGTCGGAGCAAAACGTGAGAGGGGGGCCTGAAGGGGCGACAAAGGAAAATTCATATGTAATGAAATTTGGGTTGAGAGTTTGTCAGCGGAACAATGGCTCAGTGGGACTGTGTGTAGCAGGGGCACGGGTGGCCGGCTTTGTTCAGGCAACACAGGAACAATAGGGTGTCCTCTGTGGCCCGGGGCAGCGGGAGGCCCACGCCGTGCCCTGAGGTACACTCTGTTGTCACAAAAGGACCGCTTTCTCCACACAGCCCACCGCTTCACGAGACCAAAGATAGCCAGAGAGAGACCCTTACTGGAACTCTGCCACTGATGTCAGCACGTCTGCTCCAGGCTGATCACTGGACTCCCTTTTAGCTAGCTTGTAAATGTTGCTGGATTTAGCTTACGGAAAATGATTTTTTTTTTTTTTGTGAATTCATAAAATAAAACAAGAAAGACAGAGAGACTTGAGTGAAGTAGAGTGAAAGACACAGATTATAGACAAGACAAGTCATTTCTGAAAGAAAAAAAGGGAAATGTTTTTGAATGAATTACGAAAGAAACAAATAGATATTATAGCTAAAGATAGATAGATTATTATTATTGTGTATAGATCATGACTTTGTGAGGTTTGGCGAGAACAGAAGAGCTTTTTTTTTGTGCAGGTTATTTTATCATAAAATCTGTTTTTCCTTTAATGTTTCCTCAGCTCAGTGGAAACGCCAGAACAACAGCTTAGGGAGAGTCTGAGTGAAATCAGTCACTAAATGAGTCAGTTCCTGACACAAACGCAAACCTCAGAGTTCCAGTTAAACAGAGCATTATTCACCTCCCATACAGCATTAATCAGAGGTGGTCTAACAGTTTTTCTTTCCTTCATTTCATTTAGTTTACCATTTATGCAACAGTTTAAATAGAACTTCAGGGTGGAGTTAGTACCTTGACCATAAAATACATCCTTTTTAATGATAAAATAGTGAAAAGAGACATACTCCTAAACAGAACTAACAAAAAAACAAAGTACAAAAGCTTTCTTTTTCCTGTTGGGGCAGTAGATTAAAAAAAGACACTGCTGTGTCCTAGATGGATTTCAGGAGATGCCAAGAAAGGGCGAGCAATTCTGTTTTGATACAATTTGATCAGATGTACTGAGAGTTTTGAAAATACTTTCTTCTGAGTCTATAAGAACCGTCTGTGTTCTCTGCGTGAAGCCGTATCTGTGGTAAATCGGGAAGCGAGTGCGGTTCATGGCACCCTTTGGAGTAAATGTATTTGTCCTCTGCTGGAAGGTCAGGAAAGGTTATGAGCAAACACTGGCCATGCTTCTCGGGAGCTCACACTTATTTGAACACGTCCTCTCTTCCATTTCCTGGAGGAGGCATTGTGGGATGGCGTGGGGAGAGTGGCGCCCCAGGAAGACATCGGATAATAGCGGGGTCTGACTCAGCGAAAAATAGCCTGCTTCAGAAGAATGGAGCCTGTGGAGTGATCACAGAACATGTCTGCCCCACAATACCGGGGAGGAAACCTGTCCGCTCCTGGATTGTCTTCAAGGAAGTAGACTTTGTACGTGGCCTCTGGCACTGTAGCGACTGAATTTGGTCATGGTCTTGAATCATCTTTCCTATAGCAACCAATTAGATTTTAGGAATGTGGAGGGGTTTTTTTAAATTAGGGATGTACAATATATCGTACAATATATCGGCGTAATATCGTTTTGCTTTATTAAAGAAATTTTGGGGGATTTATTAGAGATTTTTTTACATATTTTATAATTTCCTTTATTTTTACTTTTAAATTGCCTTTGCCGTCATCTAATTTCACTTAAAGTTATTCTTTAAAAACACTAAGAATTTTAATAATTTAACATTGTTAAATATAATCTTTAGCTAATCTCAAAATATGTTTTCACATTATAATGTTGTAATGCCTATATATTTACTTGTAGCATTTAAATGGATTGATTTTAGTGTTTTATTTTAAATTTATTTAAACAAAATAATATACAGTTTTAATATTGACCATTTATCGGTTATCTGCCGATATTAAAATAGATTTTTAAAAATGTAGATATTGGATATTTATTTTTTCAAGCTCGTTTCCTCTATTTTTATATTTAAATTACTGTTAAATTTAATCTTTAGAAAATCTCAAAATGTTTATCCATTTTTCATAACATATATTATAATTTTGTGATGCCTAAATTCACTTGTAACATTTATTTATTTATATTTTATTTTATTTTATTAGGCAGAAATATTATAGGACTTGAATATATTATAGAAAATGAAAATAATAATCAGCTTATGTATCAGCCAGAAATGTAATACTAGTCATTGTTCTCAACCACTCATTGATTTTAAGGGCAGGTTAAGATAGGAATATTGTTTCGGAATCAAGAAAGGATGCTGATCCTGGAACATGTCTTATTCGTGTAAATCAGATTTGATTCTTTTATACTCACT